ACCGCTGCAGGTGGTACTAACCGCTGCTGGTGGTACTAACCGCTGCTGGTGGTACTAACCGCTGCTGGTGGTACTAGCTGCTGCTGGTGGTACTAGCCGCTGCTGGTGGTACTAGCCACTGCTGGTGGTACTAACCGCTGCTGGTGGTACTATCCGTTGCTAACTAGCCACTGTTAGTGGTACTAGCCGCTGCTGGTGGTACTAACCGCTGCTGGTGGTACTAACCGCTGCTGGTGGTACTAGCCGCTGCTGGTGGTACTAACCGCTGCTGGTGGTACTAGCTGGTGGCTGCTGGTGGTACTAGCTGCTGCTGGTGGTACTAGCCGCTGCTGGTGGTACTAGCCGCTGCTGGTGGTACTAACCGCTGCTGGTGGTACTAACCGCTGCTGGTGGTACTAGCCGCTGCTGGTGGTACTAACCGCTGCTGGTGGTACTAGCCGCTGCTGGTGGTACTAGCTGCTGCTGGTGGTACTAACCGCTGCTGGTGGTACTAACCGCTGCTGTGGTGGTACTAACCGCTGCTGGTGGTACTAGCCGCTGCTGGTGTGGTACTAGCCGCTGCTGGTGGTACTAACCGCTGCTGGTGGTACTAGCCGCTGCTGGTGGTACTAGCCGCTGCTGGCTGGTGGTACTAACCGCTGCTGCTAGCCGCTGCTGGTGGTACTAACCGCTGCTGGTGGTACTAACCGCTGCTGGTGGTACTACTACCGCTGCTGGTGGTACTAGCCGCTGCTGGTGGTACTAGCCGCTGCTGGTACTAGTGGTACTAACCACTGCTGGTGGTACTAACCGCTGCTGGTGGTACTAGCCGCTGCTGCTGTGGTACTAACCGCTGCTGTGTGGTACTAACCGCTGCTGGTGGTGGTACTAACCGCTGCTGGTGGTACTAGCCACTGCTGGTGGTACTAGCTGCTGCTGGTGGTACTAGCCGCTGCTGGTGGTACTAACCGCTGCTGGTGGTACTAGCCGCTGCTGGTGGTACTAGCCGCTGCTGGTGGTACTAGCTGCTGGTGGTACTAACCGCTGCTGGTGGTACTAGCCACTGCTGGTGGTACTACCTGCTGCTGGTGGTACTAGCCGCTGCTGGTGGTACTAACCGCTGCTGGTGGTACTAACCGCTGCTGGTGGTACTAGCCGCTGCTGGTGGTACTAGCCGCTGCTGGTGGTACTAGCCGCTGCTGGTGGTACTAACCGCTGCTGGTGGTACTAGCCGCTGCTGGTGGTACTAGCCGCTGCTGGTAGTACTGGCCGCTGCTGGTGGTACTAGCCGCTGCTGGTGGTACTAGCCTGCTGGTGGTACTAGCCGCTGCTGGTGGAACTAACCGCTGCTGGTGGTACTAACCTGCTGCTGGTGGTACTAGCCGCTGCTGGTGGTACTAGCCGCTGCTGGTGGTACTAACCGCTGCTGGTGGTACTAGCCGCTGCTGGTGGTACTAACCGCTGCTGGTGGTACTAGCCACTGCTGGTGGTACTAACCGCTGCTGGTGGTACTAACCGCTGCTGGTGGTACTAGCCGCTGCTGGTGGTACTAACCGCTGCTGGTGGTACTAGCTGCTGCTGGTGGTACTAGCCGCTGCTGGTGGTACTAACCGCTGCTGCTGGTGGTACTACCCGCTGCTGGTGGTACTAACCGCTGCTGGTGGTACTAACCGCTGCTGGTGGTACTAGCCGCTGCTGGTGGTACTAACCGCTGCTGGTGGTACTAGCCGCTGCTGGTGGTACTAGCCGCTGCTGGTGGTACTAACCACTGCTGGTGGTACTAGCCGCTGCTGGTGGTACTAGCCGCTGCTGGTGGTACTAACCGCTGCTGGTGGTACTAGCCGCTGCTGGTGGTACTAGCCGCTGCTGGTGGTACTAGCCGCTGCTGGTGGTACTAGCCGCTGCTGGTGGTACTAACCGCTGCTGGTGGTACTAGCCGCTGCTGGTGGTACTAACCGCTGCTGGTGGTACTAGCCGCTGCTGGTGGTACTAGCCGCTACTAGTGGTACTAACCTTTGCTGGTGGTACTAACTTGCTGCTACTAGCCGCTGCTGGTACTAACCGCTGCTGGTGGTACTAGCTGCTGCTGGTG